TACAATAATTAAGATAAAATCAGGTCACAAGAACGGATTTGCCATTGATGCAGCTGGTGTCCTTATAACAAGATATTAGGACCCAGATATGCCCAGAGAGAAGACCATGAGGACATAGAGAAGGAATGGCCACCAATAAGGCAAGGAGTGAAACAAATACCCAGGAAAAGGACCAGCTGGGTCTTAGACTCTTAGCATCTAGAGTTATGATAATGAGATATGACAATAACAAGAAGGAGAAGGAGAAGGAGGAGGAGGAGGAGGAGGAGAGACCTTGCTTTAGCCCTCTGTCCTCTTTACGCATTGAGTTTCCTATCGATGTGTTCACTCATTTAACCATCTCAGACATATGAGAGCCGAATCCTCACTGCACCCTCTTCTCCCCAAGAGAACACTTCTGATCTGTTTACTCCTGATTTTAACAGACAACTGTTTTATATGCAGAACCAATAATATTAACTTGCACAATACACAAGGAGTTTCTGTGATTAAGGGGAACATTCATGAAAACCAAAATAAACAATACTATTCAGTGTCACGAAAGGCTTGTTGTGTGAGAGCTGGAGATGTGCTCCGTGAAGTAAAGTACTTACACTACAAGCATGAGAGTCTGAGTTGATCTCTAACATGCACCCCAAAATCCAGGTGGGTATGACAGCAGGCAAATGTAATTCCTGGGAAGGCTGAGGCAGGAGATTCCTAGGGCTTGTTGGTTAGTTAGTTTTACAAAATGGATAAGTTCTACCCGGATCCAGTAAGAGACTGCCTCAAAAGACAAGGCGGAGAGTGATACTCAGTGTCAACCTCTGGCCTCCACAGGTATACACACATTCATGTACCCATTTATATACATAAACAAGCAAAGAATACACACACACACACACACACACACACACACACACACACACACATTTTCTAGGGGATAATTTAGCCATGCATATAAAAAAACATTTAAACATTATTTTAAAAGCTCATGGTCAAGTGCTGACTCTCCCAGACAACAAAGTAAGTACAACACTGAGAAGTAACAGGGACAGAAGATGAACTGCAAACCAGTCTGTGGTGGATTCTGTTGCTCTACATTGGTAAATCTTGCTAAATGACAAGTGAACAATGTTTTATTAAGTGCCTTAGAATTATAGAGTCATTCTGCCTTGAAAAGCCTGTTAATGATTTAAGGAATTTCGCCTAATCAAATAATGAAAACATTAAAAAAAATACTCACTTGAACATTTCATTGTTATTATTTTTTTATTTTACTTTTAATGTTATGAAGCATATGATCATAATTAGATACTTGTAAACAATATTATCAGGGTATAAGTAGAGAAATATAATGTTCTCTGAAAAAGCAGAAGACATACCTAAGAAGGAGAGAAAAGAAAGGAAATCATACCACAAACAGTTGGGAAGGGTATGATTGATTGCAACTGGCTCCAAATCTACCGTATGTATTCAGGTGTGAACCTTGCTGACTTTATGTAGTGGGTGTACATAGGTGTTTAAGAAATGTGCCTGGAAATTATATCACAACGAGCTGACATGAAGCTGCTGTGTGGCTAACTCCACAAAACACACAGCTTTGATCTTCTAGTGGATGAGAGTTTTGTCCACTCTGCTGAACCCTTCTTGGGAGAAGAAGGCAGAAAAGAGGAAAAAAACCTCACTCCATGAAATCCCCTGGAATCAACTCAAATGTCAGGCAGGCAGTCCTGTCAAGGCAGAATCACAGTCCCTTCATAATCTCCAATCTCCAACAAAAAAGGGAAAAATCTAAATAAGTGTCCTAGCCTCTCTTGCTCTGGCTTGACTTAAAAAAACAGTCATTTTGGGGTCACGGGCCTGGGTGATGCCTCGTTAGCTTCACACTAGCTTTGCAATAGACAAGAGCCTCCATGTGTAAGCCATGGTAACAACTGCCTAGAGTGCTTCACAAAAACTTGAAGATCTCTTTTAGTAAAACCACTGAATCTACATTTGGACATGCTGAAGTCAGGCTGGTGACTAAAATTGATGGAGAGGCTTGGTATCTCTGTCGCCCCCACTAAGGCTACACTAAGGCTACTCAGCCACTCTTAGGCTAAGCTGACTGCTCACTGACTTACAAAGCTAAGGCAAAAACAATAGCACACAAGAAAAAATATCTTCCAGGCTCATGGCCAATGCAAATTCATGAAACTTCAGTGCACATCATCTAAAACTTAAATAGGTGGAACTCCCTGGCCCCTTCCTCCATCAGTACTGAATCATATTGACTCTTCCTGACAAGTTTGGCTTTGGCTATGTGCCCATGATACTTGACTGGGTCCTACTTCCACACCATGAGATCCCCACTATGCTAAATGTGAAAGTTAAATGGAACTGGACATTCCAATGCAAACAGGAACATTTCAAAATCAGAGCTACTTTTCCATAAATACCAGAGGTATATGGGCCCATAAATCACTTTTTGTCCCACAGTCTTGAAAGCCAAATTTTTTTCTAAAAGAAAAATGAACACACCAGGAAATGTGTGTAAATACCAATAGTTATTCTCATTAGGTATTGATTAAGGGAATCAAATATGGCCAATCAATTATTTTATATATAAAAAACCTATACTATGCAAGCACAAATTTAAAGGGGATGTCTATTCAACATTCTTGCTATAATTTAAAAAGACTATGACCTACCTTAGAAGAAAGTGAGAGTCTAAATAAATACCAACAACTTTGTTGCACTGTGAATAATTTTCCCCCGCATTACCCAGTTAATATGGCATACCTATCTCATACTGTACACTAGATATAAATGACAGTTCCAGAATCTGTGAATTCTAAAACAAGACAGAAGTGCATGTCTGTATTGTAGACAGATTCAGTCAATACACACTTTCCAAAACAATCCAGAAAGGTGATGGAAATACAAGAAAACCTATGAAATAACCAGTTACACTAAGAAAATGATATGTCATTACTGTGAAGCTTCATTTATATAATATATATAACCCATCAACTTTCTGTGTCTTTTATTAATAGAAGTCATAATTAGAGTGACAAAGGGTGTGTGAACATACAAGTTCATACGCAACATCATCTTCCCATGGAAGGTTTAATTTTATTAAATAAGCAAACTACGTGCCATGGTTATTTAAAATTTGAGAGAAGGCTGGTATGCTTCTGCTCCTGCCCACCAGTGATTAGATCTTACCATGTGTCCAGTGCTGCAAACGACTTCAACTGTCAGCTCTTCACTCAGCTCTCAGAGCTCAGGTTAAACAGTCCCTACTTGGATATGTTTCCCAAGCCCTCCCTGCTGTCCACAGCTCACCCTTTACAACTCTAAGTCATCACGTACAGAAATAACCAGTTAGTTGTCTGGTATCAGTCTCCTACTACCAACCTGAAAGGTTGGAGAGAAAGTTGCCTTGGATACACTTAACTCTGAAAAAGTAAATGTGGAGTGAGTAAATTATAGTTATTACTTCCCCCTTTAATCAAGAGCTGTCACTGAGTAGTTATGGAAGAATAATTTCTTAAAGAATGTCTGAAAACAGTTCAACTTCAATCCTGTAGCTTACTCCAACCATTCCACACTTTATCGAACATTCAGAAATCAATGATAGTGGCACAGCTGTCATGGAGGTAGCCAACTACGTTTGCTCTTATATTAGGAGGGAATGCATGCCTAGTACTGTGGACTTAGTCAAAATCTCATGGCTGTAGAGTCATAGACCCTAAGAGGGACTTTGCCACTATTGTTTAGCTAAATTCGTATGGTACCAAGCTATAGTCTAAATTGTTCATACCAATAGGCAAATGCTACTGTAATCTTTAATCAGAGAAGCCTCTCTGTGCACTGAATTAAGAAGCTCATGGCTGCTTAAGATGCTTAAAAGGTAAGGCCTAAACAGGACCTTTATATAACCCCATCTAAGTTTCAGAGAACATCTTAATCCTATGGAAGGTAGAATGAAAAGAATGTAAGAGCAGGGAGATATGGAAAAATGCTCTGTAACACATGGTGCAGCTATTGAAAACATGATTTTGTAGCAGTCACAGCTGCCTGCACTGGACCTTACAAAGACAGTGCCTGTCAATAGCCAATTATGGATAGGGGAGGATCTCAGGGGTTCCTAATCCTTTCCTGCTGAACTACTGGCAACTGAGGAATTCTGGGTAAGTCACTGAGTTCAGTTGTATGCCAAGAGGTGAGTCTACCAGTTTCTGAAGGACAGTTCCAAACCTATGACCACACAGAAAGAACATCATCATGGTTAAAATCAAATCAAGGCCATGATCTTAGCTAAAATCAGTGGGCCACAAAACTAAACAAAACGGCATGTCTGTAGGGAAATGACCTGAGGGAAGGAGGCGGGGAAGACTGGAGTGAAAGAGAGATAAAAGGGCTGAGGGTGGGAATAAATCCAATGCACCATATACACATACAAAAAGGTCAAAACAATCAATAAAGGTCAGCTAATTAATAAAAAAAGAGAAATAAAAGGACAGAACAAAGAAAGAAAGAAAGAAAGAAAGAAAGGAAGAAAGAAAGAAAGAAAGAAAGAAAGAAAGAAAATGGTATTCTCAAACATCCCCAAATCTTAGCCTACACCTACTAATAAAGTTAAATTCTTAACAGTTTTCAACAGTACAACCAGATGACAACCTTCTCTATTTAAACTTTGACACATTTGGGATACCTAAGCAAATTGCCACTCTTATCCATGATGGACAAGACTCTTTGGCAAACCTCCTGGATCACCTTGACCTAGCCAGCTATGGACAGGGACATGAGAAGGTCACATGAGACAGAATGTGATGACACACACAGAATGAACACAGACCTGGAACATGTGCCCTTTAATTAGCAACCACACTGGAAAAAGACAAAAAAAAAAAAAATGTGACTAGTATGGATCAAGAGTCAGAAATGAGGAGGAGCACTGCTCTTCAAGTGGCCAAGCCCGGGAGACTGTCACTCTGAGCTGGGAGAGCCACAGCATTCCGTGTCTCATCATTATGTCTTTGCAGGCTGATTTTGACCAGGCCGCACAAGACATGAGGAAGCTGAAAAGCAGACCAGAAGATGAAGAACTCAAAGAACTCTATGGGCTCTACAAACAGTCCATCATTGGAGACATCAACATTGGTGCATGTCCTCCAATGCTAGATCTAAAGGGGAAGGCCAAGCGGGAAGCGTGGAACCTCCAAAAAGGGTTATCAAAGGAAGACACCATGTGTGCCTATGTTTCTAAAGAGAGACAGCTGATTGAGAAATATGGAATTTAGAATGTGATGGAGACATATCTCTTTTGGAAGCCTTCATTAGTAACTCTTTAAATAAGATCCTATTTTTTTCTATTAGCATGAATTATAATGCTTAGGACTATATCAAAATAGTTACCTGACTTTACTTGCTTGAGCAGGGTGACTTTTAAAAGTTCCTTTTCAAAAATTGTTTCGTAGTATGCATATGAACTTTAATAAATATATTTCTTTTTTGCAAAAAAAAAAAAAAACAGAAATGAGTCCACTGAAAGAGCGACCTCAAAACTAACACGAGGGTGCAGAAACTCCCTCCTTTTCTAAGTGAAGTAATAGACAATCAGATTCCACTCACATCTCTGTTTTAGTCTACTGTTCTCCTGCATGGTTACTATCCCAAAACTAAAGGGCAAATTCCAAAAATCAAAACGCCATGACGTAAAGCCAAGTCAGTACTTGGCCCCTTTGTTCTAGTGTTGACTTTCACCCTGAATCCATTCTCCTACTCTTCCTTTTCATCAAATGTCTACTGCATACAAATAAAAAATATAATAGACAAAGGCCAAAGACTTTTGCTTAGAACTACAGGAAAAAAAAGTTGAAGCTCACCCTTGGACTTGATCCAGCTTTCTGCCATCACAAAATTCTTTGTGAAAATAATAAAAATTTCCCTTTCATCTGCTTTCCAGTGTATTATGTCTGGATGTATTTGGAGAAACTTGATTTGGTTAGCATCTAGTGCCCAGCCACATCTCAATTCTTCAACTAATTTCCCAAGTTTTAAAATTAGAATAATAAAATAATAAACATAAGATATTTGAAACCTAAATTATTATTACAGTTCAGTTACTTATTTCCTCTATGGTCAAGATTTCAAAGAGTATAGCTATAATCATGAAACAAAAAAACAAAAGTCTTGGAGGAAGGAAGGGATAGTAAGTTCTTCATTTAAAGAAATACCTGTGTTATTTACATTAATTTAAAAAATCATGAGTGTGTTTTATTCATTTTACCACAGATATTCAACTCAAACATACAGAATATGAAAAAAATAACCCAGAACATTCAAGATTTGGTAGAAGTGTTTACTCTATTAGCAAATGCCATTTCCAAAGCTTCTTGATTGACCTGTTTTAAATGTATCAATCTACAAGATTTATCAGTTTATACTTTGGAAAGATTATACTAGAGATTTTTTTTACAAAATCACACAATAAAGCCAAATCCAATTTATTGAAATGTAGATGAGGGTAAAAATTGGAACTACCTTTCTTTTTAGTTATGAGAAAATCATGAGAAAAGAAGCAATTATGTCCTATGATACAGAGACATGAGGAAAGAAGCAATTATGTTCTATGATAGACATTCTTTGATGAAAGATCAGAGTATCAATCTGTGCCCTTTCCCTCTTCTAAGTTGTTTCTGTTGCTTCTTTCATCTTTCAAATACAAGAAAACTAACACTAGACCAGCGAAGACATTAATTTTGAAAGAAAAAAAGTTAACTACTAGGATGCATTCCAGCAATACTTAAGTATAAAAATCAGGAAGATTGTGAGATTAAAAAGTATATTATTATTTCTTAAAACTTGTGTTAGTTTCAGGTAGAAAAACACATGCCCCACAGCATTTCAAAATAAATACACTACACCTTCATAAACCTTTGATGTGACTGGGTGTGGCCATCGGGAGGAATGCCCAGTGCACGGCCTGCACCCAATGACCTGTGCTCCTAGAAACCATGTGACAGCAAAGACGTAGAACCATTGTGTTTACATCCTGAATTTATTTAAGCAAACCGAGTGTGTTGATAGGAAACCAATTCATCATAAGGCTTTACAAATACAGATAGAAGACACAAAATACCAAGACCCTGAACAGAGAATAGGTGAGAACACAGTTCTATGAAAGCCAGTCAAGATGCCTGTCTGTCATTTTCTACCTGGAATTGTTCAAGTAGCTTCAATACATACTAGTCTGATTTACATAAATGCTAATGATTTCGGTACCCTTGGAGGGATTGTGAGGGACTACAGTGCAATGCATGGCAGTCCAGGCTTCCTTTGTTATTTCAATACTGCTGTACATTATGAGGAGAAATAATGCCTTATCACATGTTTACTGTGACATCGATATAAGATGTGAACTCATTTGCATAGGTTAGTCCGTTGGACATCACAATGTCTCTCTAGTCCACCAAGGCTTAAGGTTCACAGTGTAGAGGAAAAAGACATGAATTAAAGCATTTGTACTAAAATATATTTTAATAGCTGGTGTTAACACTTGCATAACAAAAGACAAATTATACTAATAACCTTATATCATTCTGTGATCCCATTCCATGGGGGGGGGGAACATTTAATGCTTCTTTCAAAATCATTATGTTCCCAAAGTTAGTACAATTTTACAAATTAATCACAAACCACAACTGTGCATATTTCAAAGCAAACAGAAGCCAAACTACATCATTCAAATGTGTGTTTTTATCACAGGTCAAAAGCCAACAGTTCCACAAATACCATGCCAGTTACACACTTGTTGCTACTTCCAAAATGCTCAGCAATTCATTGTATAGACTCAAAGGAAGGATGCTGCGGTGCAGTGTTCTCTCTTTCCTTTAGAGGAAATCATCTTTAACCATCAATCATTGACGACAGTGAAGTGTGTGCTATGCAACCAGGATACAATATACCAGATACAATAAACATGGGGAGGTCCTGTAGATATACTGAAGTTACAGATGATTGGGTAGGACATTTTCCCAGAGAACCTTCCAGGCGTGAGAATGCTAGTGGTCTTATACATCCTGGAATGATGACCACAGAAGTTTTACACAACGTCTTGACTTTTTTGATCATCGGTTATAGACAGCTATTTGCCTGGAGAAGGATCCTAAGGGGCATGGAATACTTCAGAGAGACTTTCATTTTTAGCATCTTTAAATTAGTTTACATAGCTCCCTACTTAACTGAAGCTCTGTTACCATGTTGTATTACCCCATATAATGCAATGATAACTCAGATTATCAGTGCAATACAAGCCACATACATATTATCAGAGGCAAACAGTTAAAATATAATCAAGTCATAAAGTTCAATTATGCAGTGAATTCAGCCTCATAATATAACTAATCTATCTCACCATAAGTATTTTAAACCCCAAACCTAAACTTAATGCTTATATATCTCAACTATATATAAATCCACAAAAAAAACAACTTTTCAGAAAATTGAATAAGTCAGCATTTTCTAACATTATAAGCGTTTAGAAGGAAAATACAACCAGCTACCATCTGTAATATCTTTCTGTCAAGGGCATCCCACTTCTCACCACAAAAAAATATCAATTGTGTATCATAAAATATTGTTATAGAATATGCAGAAGCCTTGCTTGCTTGGTTCCCTTTCCAAGACCATAATGATAAACAAGCATAATCAAAAAGGCACCTATTTTTATATATCTATATTGTAACCTTAGTATAAACTATATCTACTGAATATAGAGTTGTATTATTAGAGATCACACATATTTTCTTTCTCATTTGACTGAAAGCATTCCACTGGAGGTGGATGAACCTGAAAAGGAGGTGTGTGTCACTTGCTCTCAATTGTGGAAAAGGTTTTCCCCTAATTCCTGGAGTGTTATAGACCCCCAGCACAGAGAGGATCTGTGACCAATAACTTTATCATCTTCAAGCAAAGGGCCTAGTGTCAAGAGAGAGACTAGACTAATCTCATCCGTTCCCTTACAAGATGCTTGTGGAAATTGTGCTTAGACATTCCTGGGTGCTGTGTGGAGGCTGGGAGACCTGGGAATATGCAGACCCTCAGAAAACCAGATCAAAGTTTTAAACTGGGCCGTGCTGCTGATGTGCAAGCAAAATGAAGACATGAAGTATTCATTTTGTCACAGGTTATAAAGAGAAAGCTTTCTAGAGAACAAGAAATGTTTTTTTTCCTTAAATCTACTACAAAAGCTTATAGTAAAAGCACTGTATTCAGTTGCTAAACTTTTCTCAAGAGGAATATGATCCAAATATATTTGTTTTCAGCATTTGAGAAGTGTATCAAGTGGCTTCTTGTGCTTCTGACAAGCTTGGAATCCATCAGACAGGAAGAGGTCCATGCTCTCTGTGCTTGGCATTTAGTCTCCCTTGACTCCAATTTCTAAGGGGCTTGTTTGTAAATTCTTCTATAGCTGTCAATGTTACATGTGACATACTGGCTGCCAAATTTCATGTGAGAGGGAGGCATATGGAAAGCGAAAAAGGTGCTAAGAATATAGTATTCTTTTTAAAAGATGCTGCAAAAGATGGCACCTGGCTATGACACATCTAGGTTCAATACATAACCTCAAAACCATGCCATCCATATATTGCTCTGCCTCAGTCTGTATGGAAAACAACTGCCCTTTGCAGAATCCAGATGACATCTTAATTCTGAAAGACTTGAAACAGAAATATCTTGCTATGCAAATATTATTCGAAGCTCAATATTTAGGAAGACTATTTCCTAAATATGTACTGACTCTCACATTCATCAAGTCTGACTTTGAAATTGATGAGTGGCAAAAACATGGACCATCGAGCAGCTACTTTGTGGGGACTAACAAATGTTAAGCATCATTTCAAAGTAGGCTTCTGTTGAGCTTCCTGCAGACATGCTATTATCAAAATCATATCTGCCCTGCATTCATCTTGACATTTTAATTAATGACTACTTTCTCTTTTAAAAAAGTCACAAACACACACACACACACACACACACACACACAGAGAGAGAGAGAGAGAGAGAGAGAGAGAGAGAGAGAGAGAGAGAGAGAGAGATGTCTGCCTGGAGAAGCATAAAAGATACATAATATAATTGAGCCAGCTTATCACCCTTGTTTTTAGTGTACAGATTTTTGCAAATTATTTGCAAGTGAAATTTATCTTTGTAGCTGTGTATTCAAGACATGAAAGCAGTTAGGAAGGTTAATCATGACTAGTTACTTAAATTACATAATATTAGATAAGCTATTTATTTATGAGTCTATAAAAAATCAACCTCTCCAGAAAAATCTCTAGTTATTTGCAGAATTTTCTTTTCCAGTTTTCTATCAGCGTCACAGAAATACAGCTTAGTGTAATAAAACTTTCCTTTAAGGCAAATCTAAGGAAACTAATGGTTTTCAAAAGTATGGACTCACTTTCCAAAGGTTTACATGAACCAACATTGGGCTTTGGCCTCATAAACACTTCATTCAAATAGTTTTCATTGTGGATGCTTTGTTTATTTCCTTGAACATATTGTGTAAAGTAGATATTCCCACAGTCCCAGTATCCTCTTACATTTTGTGACTTGACTCTCTTCAGACTCTGAGCCTACATGAATGCCACCAAGCTGCAAGTCATAGTAAGACGCACCATGGGAAAAACTGAGTTGCAGTAAATGTCAACATCCAGGGAACCTCAACTGCAGATTCCAGACGAGTTTAAGACACAATAGTGTGTGAGTCCTGCATATGCATCCAAAACAACACACTGGTTTCTTTCATAGTAGATTACCTATTAGATGCCCCCTCTCCAACAAAAAAACAAAAAAATCACTGATGATTTTTTTTTTATCTAACATGAAGATGACTTAGAAAAAAATAACAGGAATGAGGAAAGGAAGTCGTTTTATCAACATTTTTAGAGGCTAGATTTTCATCCTAGCATCTGAAGACTGATTGCCAAATTATAAGATCAGATTGTCTAATTGTGGAGCAAGCTTCTGCTGTTTTGTATTTTCAGTTTTCGGCCACTTTATAGTCCATTTCCTCTTACAGCAGATGATGTTCAATTCACTCCACTTTTAAATCAATGGTGGCATTAAGTGAGTGAAAACTATCCAGTAAATACATAAATCTCCTATTTACTAGAGTATATATGTAATTCCTAAGGAATGAGTCTTTCAAAACTAGAGTGTAATACAGCAAGAAAGCCTCAAGCAACTTTTTAAAATGTTTTCCAATGAGCGGGCAACTAGAAGGAAGGGCAGGGAGAGAGTGGCCATACGGTTGACTTTAATAACAAGGATGGGCAAGCAGCTGCCAGGTTATAGAAGCTCAAGCCCACAAGACATGCAACAGGATAGAGACTACTGGGGAAATAATACAGATGACATTGGACTTGTCCTTTGCAGAGAAGCTAGGAAGTTACCTGGTCCTGACATTCTGGGGACCTGAGCAGATGCTCTGCTCCACAGGATGTAAATAGAGATAGGCTACACCGTAGAACACATGAGAAATAACTAGCTCCTGCTCAGCCTAGGGAAAGGCTAGATTCCCTGCCGTCTCCCTAAGCCTACAGTCAATATGATTTTAACCAGACTTGTTCTACCACTGTTTTCATTTATTATATTAGGTGATTCTCACTTGAATTGAAAATTACCCAATGATTTAAAAGCTGAACAGTTTTTAAATTATTGGCTGTGTGGCTGGACTATGAGAATTAGTTATGGATGATTCCAAGTGACAGCTAAGAAGTTTCATACATTTGTTACATTTAAGGGACAATCAACATCTCTATTAAAGTCTACAAAAATACATTTCCCAGAAGGGTTGAATAGCCAATCGAATGAAACCACAAACACAATTAGCAGCACCAGGTCTCCAGACCTAATGGTTTTGTTTATAGGAATTACTATGGATGCTGCCATTTCCAGCCCGAATGTCAATTCCTTTTTTCTGGTACCTGTGTGTCTAATTGTCAAAGTAAGGATACGTCATTGTAAAATAATTGCCAAGTTATCTGAAAAGTATCATCTATCTTTTAAAAAGACTGAGTTTGGAATACATCAGAATAAAGCTGGGCAAGGAGAAAGAATTAATTCACAAACTCAATGTAATTTGCTGGGAGCATGCCCGTTCTCCCAGTTCTCTGTACAGTGCCATACATCCAACCATCATCAATGGGCTGCACGTTGACAATGTAGTCACCATCTCGGAAGGAAACCTCATCTTCATCCTGGGCACTATAGTCGTACATGGCTCGGTAGGTCCTCTGAGGAAGAAAGAAGAGATTGTATGTTGTATTCCAAAGTAGTAAAGGTTACAAATCTGGATCCCAACCAACCACCACACACATGATGAGTACAAGTGTTTGCAGGTACTGCCATCTTTGGGGAGCTGTAAAGCAGGTGTATCACCAATGCTATAAATCTTAACTTTGTCTATCTAGAGAAAACATACTTAAGGTCAAATCAAAGATCCAGGAAGATAGCACAGTAGCTTAACTTTAAAAGACAATAATGAAAGAAAATAAATAAAACAGTGTGCCTCTCTAAAAGTAGGCTTTAAAGGAGTAACACAGGTCCCATATGCAAAAAAATTCTAGAAGCCTAGGATGATGTAGATTTTCTTCTGTTCCCCTTATTCTTCAGGAGATTAATCCCTAGGCCTGTAGTCCAATGGATCTCTGCCAATGGTTTCCCTTTGCACAGAAAAGTGGACTTTTCCTAAATAAATGCTAGGAATTTTTGTTCTCCCTTCAAAACATATTTTTAAAAATCATTTATTTATTTAAACATTACTCATTTCAGATCACAGGGCCATAAATTCCTTACACAAATGCTCTGATTTTTGAAGTACATATAAAGATAATTTTATTATAGTGAAAAAACTTAAATTGTGGTTTTATATTTGTTTCAGTTCAAGGCTAAGAGTTTGTCTAATATTAATAATCAGTAAATCTCAAAGCCAAGAATATTCATAGATTAAGGAGACTGAGGAAACTGGCTAGCACACAGTGGACCTGAAAGCAATTGTCTTCCTTACAGAATAGTCACCTGCGTCTAAGTATTGAAGCAGTTTCAGCATGAGACACCAAGTATGACCATAAAGCAAGCTTCATTGAACTTAACAATGGATATTTCAAGACTTCTAACAGGGATGCTTGAAGGATACTACTCTTAATAGACTTTTAATTGACATACATTAATTGAACAGATTTGGGGGTGTAGCATGGCATTTCAATAGCTGAATGCAATGTCTGCCAGATCAGAGTGACTGGAATATCTACTTACTACTTCTAGTGGAATATCTATTCACTGCTTCTTTACCGTCTCAGGATGTTTCCTAAACATTCTGAGTAAATGTTCTTAACTCTGAACATTCAAACTTATGGTAGCCTATGCCCATTAGACTACTGAGACCATTATGATGAACATTAAGATTAACTCTTTTAACATGAGTATCATAAACCTGTAACTTCTCAGGCCTGGTTGAAGATCTTAACTGGATCTTTCCCAATTCTGAAGTAGCAATTAGGAAGCTGTGATGGTTTAAGTGAGAAACGTTCTCCGTAAGCTAAGGTATTTGAAATATTTGATTTCTAATTTTGACAAGGATAGGAGGTGTGGGCTTGCTAGAGAAAGTATGTCATCGTGGATTGAGTTTGTGAGAATATATCTTTGTCCTAGGTCCACTTTATCCTCTCTGCTTTTCACTGACAGCTGAGATGTGATCTCTTAGCTTCCTGTTCTCGCCGTTATGCCTCTTTGCCCTGATGGGCGCTTATACACCTGGAACAAACCCCAAATAACTTTTCTCTCTATAACATGCTTTTGGTCATGGTGTTTTATCACAGTGACATAAAAGTAACTAAAAGAGATCTCATAACTGGCAGATGTCTTGTTTGTTTTATTATTTGATGTGATGCTTACTAATGCCATTTTTCCTCACCATTTCACCTCTGTAATAGTTTTGCTAACATTGAAAGGACTGTATAAATAGTAACACCACATCACTGTTGGGTTTTTTTGTCCCAGTTCTGGGTGTTGAGCTAAGAACCTAACATTCTACACAAGCACTCTACCACAGAGCTGAACTTGTAGACTGCAGGAATGTTGGAAATCAGCACTTACTAGATTTGCTGAATGCTGCATTGACCTCATGGATGACACGCTGGTCTGGTGCATGTATCCATAGCCTTGGGAATGACTCTGCTGGTAAGCTCCAGGAAGGACAGGGGCTGCACATGGACACAGAGAGACAACTCAGGTTAACCTTCAAATACTCTGCCCAAACCTAAGTGAAGCATGATCGGTAAAACAGTCTTCAGTATCCTGTGAAATCCAAGTGGCAACGGTACAGGCAGTCTCTAGATTAGTCCAAATCTTAGTAGTTAAGGATGTTAGTTTAAAAATCAATTTATCATGCAGTTAACTGTTTCTTTGAAGAATACTTTTATTAATCCTTTTAAAATTGCATACAATTTATTTTGATTATATTCACACATACCTTCCCCCAAATCCTCCCTTCCAACTTTGAGCTTTCTTCTGTTTTTGTTGTTTATTTATTTGTTTTAACCCCTCATGTCCAATTTGTGCTACCCAATCATTCTTGAGAGTGTCATGTACTTACCAGGGATCACACCATTAAAAAAAAAATTGACTCCCCCTATCCCAGGATCTCAAAATGTCAGTGAATTGGGTTTGTTGTATTTCTGTTACTCTATTGAAGATGCTATGGTAAAATGAAATTAATGAAACAAAAAAAAATATCACATCCTTAACAAAAAATGATTAAAATGCTTATTAGGCCATTTAACCCACTAGACATTTAAAGACAATAAAACAAAATAAAAGAAAGTAAGCATATAAAGGATTTAATTAGACCACCCAATCCATGACAGAGCATCGATGCTCTCACAAGGGCTGCTCATGCAATAGATACATGGAGTACATATTCAGAGACATGCAGCTTAACAAAATCGGTAATCCCAACATGCTTCACCATACACGATGCTTCTTCAGCACTCAATACAGCCAATAGATACTCTTTAAAGAAACCTGTATTTAGAACATATGAAGTCCTTTTACTTTGATATAAATCAAGTGAGTTTACTTTTGACTTTTACTGAGAATTGAGAAAGCAGATTATCTAAATAAGTGACGATAGAATGCTTGGGCCTGTGGTTACACTATCCCCTTTGATTCTAAGGAAACACCATGGAAGAGGGGGCAGAGCACAGACTGGGCTGTGTTTATACAGGATGCTTAGCCTCATTTGGTATGTCTATAATAAATCCCCTATACCTAAGGTTCAGGGAACCCCAGAAGAGAAGGTAGAACAATTTTAAGCGCCAAAAGACCAGGACATATGTTGCTATGTAGTATCTTCTAGATGAGCTAGAAAACCTGACCTATAAAACAATATAATTGTCTAAATAAGACCTGCATAATGATAATTCTAGTTCACGTGCCAATACATATGGGGAAATTTCACAGGGCCCCACCCTGAGATGAAGACCTATAGGCCAGTAGTGACTATTGAAAGAGAAGACCCCCAAACACACACATATATGAACAAAACAAAATAGGTTCAATGGTGTGTGTGTGTGTGTGTGTGTGTGTGTGTGTGTGTAAAACAATAACAACTATAGAAGAGTCATAAATTTGAGAGAGAATGTTTTTGGGGGGTAGGCCAATCCAAGCCCCCTTGCTTAGAGTCCTCGATGAAAGGACAAAGGAATGCTAGTTCTGTATCCTTGCCCAGGAGCACACTTGGCAACCTGTGGTCTGAGGTTGGAGCCAAAGCCAGAAGGAATTAAGAGCTTTGGTTCCTGAGAAATTGACTCTTCCCTGCTACTCAACAGAAGGCTATTGCTACCAGCTCCAAAACTGCAGTGCAGTTGGTATATGACACACTTGAGGTATCCTGTGACCCCTTTGTACAACACTACCTGAATAGTTTTCTGCTACTTCAATTCCATTGTGTGATAGCTTTCTCTTGACTCTGGCCCATTTTCCCCTTCCTTCAGTATATATAAGACGCTGTACTTCTTATCAAACTTCCTGATAGGAGTCATCTGCTCACGTAGACCTCTTGAGTCTTGCTTTCTGTCTTCTTTCCCTTCTCCTCCTTTGTCCTTCCCTTAATATCTTACAGTTCAAGGCCCTTATTTTTGAGTCAAGGAGCAGAAGGGACATAGGAGACATTAGAGGGGGGTTAAGGGAGGGATTGAAATGATATAACTGCAGTAGTCACAAATGCATTTCTCAAAACAAATATAAATTTAAATGACAAAAGATGCTCTCTGAACATGACATAGCCATCACACCCAGGAACTCACTGCAGCTATGGTAACCTGCATAAGACCTGAATAAGATTTGATCAGTCAATATTTAACCCATATATGAGGAGCTCATAAGGCTGTATCCCTCCCTCCTGGAGAGATTAACGGTTGCTTAGGGAAGTAAAGCCAGTTTTCCCCAATGACTATAACAATGATAAGTCACCCATGCCCCAATAAATAACCCTAACCCATGCTCATGAAGCAATCATAATAAAATTCAGTTATGCCCAGTGAGTCACATACATATATACACACACATATATACACACATACACATACATACATACATATGCACATACATACATATGCACATACATAATATGCACATACATACATATGCACATACATACATATACATACACACACATACATACATGCACACATCCTATAAAAATAGGAAAGAAACTTGTTGGGAAGAAATAAAGGTTTCAGTGGAAGAGGAAAGAGGGGAGAGAGAGACTAATGGGTACTGCAAAGAAATGAAATTCATTATAAACACATGAAACTATCAAAGAAAAAAATTAAAAAATAATTTTAAAAAGCTTCATAGATATCATTCTCCTATGTTAAAATACATCAAAATGGCATTCACAAGATTTTTTTACCATCTTCAACAATAATTAGGGCAACAGAAGACATAGTTTCTGAGTCAAACATGATAGTGCATGCCTGTGACTATCAATCAGAAGTCTGGGGCAGGAGGATGATAAGTTTGAGGCCAAGATGATCTGTGTAGATTGTTGCAGGGAAGCGTGAGTTACAAAGCAAGATTCTGACTCAGCAAAACAAAACAAAGAAGACATAATTTCTTTCTTGATGAACTCTGATTTCTAGACAAACCACCCAACACAGATGCAGTATAATAAACAAATAAAGAAATACCCACAAGCCCACAGGCAAATAGCATGTGCTTGTGTGTAAATTTCTCAAAATATCTGTGTATTTAAAGCATTTGTAAGCAATGAGGAAAAGTATTCAGTAGCGTAGTCTTTGTTCTGTTTTGAATAATGATATAATTCATTAGAAAAAATGTACCATACATATGCTTATTAAACCCATAATATTTTGCCATTTTAGTTTAATCATGTTGAGTATATGCCTATAATAGGTTTATTTGTTTGGGTCAATTTTTATGATAAAAAGAATGAGCAGATATAATTCTTGGATATTGTGAATTTAATAATTTATAAATGGCAAATGCATTCTAATGGTGCATGAAATCAATATGTTAAAGAAGTTTAATGATTAGCAGATTAAAAGCTGTAATATATTCCCCATAATAATATTTGAGTGAGGAATTATTTTTAATAGTTCATGAGTGAATTTCTAATATTATATTGTTACAAATTGCATCTTGTGTCCAGATATGGCATCATACAGATTGCCAAGATCTTTACTTGGATTAGAATTGCTATAAACCTAGCTAAACTATGATTAAATATCAAATCCTGTTTAATATTATCAACTCAATTTACATATTTAATGCAAAGGGCTGTCAGGAATATGATCAATCTCTACCCATGAAGAAAAAATAATAAGATCACCATAAATATGCAGGCTCCTACTCTTGCTAAGTAAGAGGCCTTCTTGTGGGGAGCTGATAAGTAGGAGGCTTTCTTGTGGGGAGCAGAGGAGGCTGGAAGAATGAACATTCACTTACCTCTTCAACTCTGATGAGCCAATACTCATCAGGAAATCTGCAGCTTACTGCTTTGCCTGCCACAGAGTATAAGTCTTTACAGCTATTAACAATGTCTATGACTGTCTGCTAAATTCTAGACAAGTGAGTCATAGAGGAATGACAAAACATTTGCTCTCTTGGAGCCATGATGGCCCTGGGCAGCTAGCCCCTCTGTCAATTAGGGAGATGGTTCTGGGTACATATGTAGGGCATGTCCAATTAAATACACAAATTAATGATGCAGACTAAAAAGCCCCAAACTTGTTTTTCACCAATTAGACTGGTAATTTCTTAATTACTTATTATTGAACCATAAACTTTGAAGATTATTTAAACTCTTTTGCTCATTTACCTGAAAGAAAGAAAAAAACAAAACTATATTCAAATCTACTGTTACACTGTTACAGAGCTGCCCTTCAGAGAGAGGAAACCAGCAGGTACTGTTATATAGTCAGTTTAGTCCTGAGAATGTGTGGTTTGGTAAGCAGGAACAAGAACTCAGGAAGAGCTACTGCAGGGCAAGTGTGCTCCACCAAGCCCTGTGGTTTCTCAGCACACCTACATTGGTATCCTCATTTCCATGAATTTCTTAGACGCTTCTATGGGGTCCTAAAGCATTGTCATCTGTAGACTAGTGCACTAAAGAGTTTAAGAGTTCTACTAGGACTCTGAAAAACATCACTGAAAGAGTAGAGGAATCACTAAGTAAAAACATTCAACTTTATTTCACATTGATAAGCTATATCAATCAGAGATCAATTTCAAACATAATATAATATTTATAAAGCCAAAATGTCTCTTCTTCTGTACCATGAAGTTCTTCCACACACCACTGGTCTCAATACTTTCTAATTAAATGTTAATTATTTAATTTTTGGATTTATTCATGTATATGAATATTTTGCCTAAATGTATGTATATATGTGCAAAATTTTTGCGTCTGGTGTCCAAGGAGCTCAGAAAGGGACATTGGACTCCTCTAGAACTGAAGTTACAGATGGTTGTGAGCCACCATGTGGGTGCTGGAAATTCAACCTAGGTCCTCTTCAAGAGCAATAAATGCTCTTGACCACTGAGTCATCTCTCCAGTACCTAAGTATTATTGTTATTAAAATTAAAAAATATAAGACTGAAATAAAGAACTGAGTAGATTTAAAACTTAAACATGAAAGAACTGGGAATAAAAAGGGAAACTGATAAAAGTGTACAAAGA